TATTTCAACAGGACAATGCCCGCCCTCATATTGCTAGGACTGTTCAATCCTTCCTTGCATCGCGACAGGTACAACTTCTTCCTTGGCCGGCGTATTCCCCGGTTATGTCACCGATTGAACATGTGTGGGATTTCGTTGGTCGGAGTCTCGCTCGTAATCCTCGGCCTTTTGCTTCTACAGACGAACTTTGGGTACGCATACAAGCAGTATTGAATTCTCTTCCTCAGACAGACATTCAAAGTTTGCTTGACTCCATGCCATGTCGTGTAGCAGCACTTATCGCGGACCGTGGTGGTTACACAAAATACAGATTTCGATCTCTTGTTATTGTTTGTCTGCTTTGAAAGTTTAATCATTTATTTGTACCACTACCACTCAACTATGTATTAAATTTCATTCAATTATGACGATTCCTTCATGGTGTTGCAATTTTCACAAACAGGAGTTTAGATAACGTCGCAGATGTTGAAAATAAAGAAAGATACAGGAAGAAAGAAGAAACGGATTTTATTCTAAATGACGTAATGCGAAACTTTTTTCAAAATGCGAGGAATTCGCGAATTTTGAAATTGATTTATAGAATGCGCGAATTTCTCGCGGTAGTCATTTTTTAATGCGAGAAAAGAAAAAAATATGCGAGATTCTCGCGTTCTCACGCTGTAGTGAAAACACTGATCAGATGACAAAAAAGAAATGGGGAAAAAATATCAAATATTGGATTTCTATTCCACACCACCAATGAAAACCATTTTCTTAATTAAATAAATATAGAATAGCATTTTTTTAAAAAAAAAAAGTTTAATCGTCCAAAACAAACTAACATTTAATTCTCTTCATAACTGCCTTCTTCATTTTCTGTACTAGATGAAAGTGTTTCTGCAACAACATTCAAGATATCATTCATCTGATCTTCCGTAAATCGTTCTTCACACTCTTCAATCAGCTAAAAACATAAAAAATAGATACATTTTGATCAAAATTTAAATCATTCTAGTAATTCCTCCATTTTCACCCATAAGACTTAATTTATGAGATGTTTTAATTTTGTTACTTTTTGTATATAATGTTGTGTTGGTATAAAACAGAATAGCAACTGCTTTTCTGTTAACTACCTATATCAGTTTTCACATTTGCTAATAAATAATTTTTTTTTCTTCTGAGAAATTATTATGTAAAGTTTGGTTAGAGACATACGCAAGAGGTAAGTATTTTATTTTGTTTAATTGTGTGGCTTTTAGAATATTTTTATTTATTTATCTGGAAATAAAAAAAATTAAATTATTTTCCTTATTGTATATAAAAAATAGGAAATAGAATAGAAAAGCAGAAAAGTGTAGTTTTTTTAAAAAAAGAAATGCATTAATTAACTTGGTGGAAAAAGTAAATATTGTTTATTTATTTATTTCAATCTAAACGTAAAAAAGAATTTATTTCTGTATTAGGATTGGGAGACGTTATAAAAAAAAGGGGGGGAACAGTAAGTTATAGGTGCTAGTCACATGTTAATTTTAAGATCAGGAAAACCATTATAATTTACACTATTTAATAATTGAAGTAAAGAACTCTTACAACAGTAATAATTGTTGTCTATGAGCGTAGTGGAAGTTAAGGCTCCACAATTTCGAGAGTAATAGTATGATAGTGATGATAAGGTCAGAATTGCACACCGGCTGTTTTTACCTCTCAAAACTCTTTTTAACTCATGTAGTTAATTATTAATCATGCAAATGAATGTGCCATACTCTTAAAAAAAATTTCAAAAGGAACTTACTAATTGGATTTCCACTAGACTTTTAGGCTGAAGATTTAGTAACTGCAGTTTTTCAGCTCTAAAAACGAAAAACATGTATGAAAAATCAAACAATAAGAAAACACAAAATTAGATAAATGATAAGTGTTTCTTTATTTTTTCAATACCTTAAGGTTCAAGTTACGCTTGCTACATTTTTAACATAATTGTTTCTACATTAACATATTAATAAAAGTTAAAAACAGTAGAAACATTTTTAATCGCCATATTTGCCTCAATTTAAATTCTTTTATTAGCTGAATTATGCTATTTCACTTCATTAATCTTATTATTCTTTCTTTAAGTTTTGACCAGTTTTCTTCATTTGTTTTTAATTTTACTCAATTAATTTATTTTAATAACAGTCTAAGTTAGTATTTAGAACTTTTTTTTCTTAAAATAAACAATTTTTTATGGTATTAAAACAGAAAAATAAGGTTTTAGTAGTTTAGTTATTATTAAACTCTTCTCAAAAAGAGTTAGACTGTGGAATGATACGTGGTGGTGTTTCTGATGATTGTCTTATAACTCCTGTCTGCTTCCTGTGATTTTGATATTTTCAATCCATCTTCCTTAATAGTGATTGTCAGACTTCGAATTTTAAAAGTAAATTTGAAGGTGTGTTAACTTTTTTTAGCTTCATTTTTGTTAAGGATTCTAAAAACATATATTAAGAACTGTGATTACAGAATACTTTGTACATACATTTATAAAAATATTCACATGTGTGCAAAATAGTCGTTGACATACTTGGTTAGTTCATAAGGAGCAATAGCAATCAAAAAGTTTTTGATCGACTCTTCTGATTGTGAAGCACAGGGCATTTCTTCTAGGTATTTAAAAGTCTAAAAAATAATGCACAATGAATAATTAAAGAAATATGAACATGATAAACAATGTCTTTAAAAAAAATCTCTTAAATATGTTTATCGACTATAGTAAGTAGGGTAAAAAATTTAACTATAATTTTTTTTTCTAAATATGATAGTTTAAACTAGGGGTGCACAACCTGCGGGCCAAATGCGGCCCTTCGACTACTGAAGTGCGGCCCGCGAGAGCTTCTAAACACAATTTTAAAAAAATTTAAAAAAATTTAGTGCGAACAAAGTGCAATTAAACAAAGTGCGATTAAAAATTGAACTATCTCTGTTTTGTTTTTATTTTAGGCTTTTGTTTAAAACCTATAAATTTTCTTCAATTAAAATATTTAATTTGAATTTATATTACTTAATTACGACTAAACTTTTTCCTACTTTCCTTCAGTGGGAATCGCAGTTTTTTTTTTTTAATTTATTAGAATTTAATTCTAAAATAAGTTTTCATATTGCATGATATGATAAAAATTTTTTTTTCTTTTCTTCAATGTTTATTTATTTTGATAAATCTATTGTTCATATGATAGCAATAGCAAGTTTTTTTTATTGATAAAAAAATGGAACTATAATGTTTAAATAAACATTATTACATTTGTCATTAACATGTCTAAATACATGTGCGGCCCTTCGTTAGCCAACCTGCTGTGCAAGTGGCCCTTCACTCTAAAAGGTTGTGCACTCCTAGTTTAAACTAAAAAGCAAAGCATTTTCTCAACAGCCAGTTCGTCGTCCCACTATTTCAAAATCGGCGATAAAATGACGTCAAATAATGTGGTCAGCATAACGCACCAGCCGCCTTTACTTTCCCTAGTATGCTTCTGAAGCTGAGTAGACTTCGCCAAGAATAGAATCTGTGTCTGTCCAGTTCTTTAACTATTGTGCTATTTTGACTGAAAATAAAATATAAGAAGCTTCTCGATTTTGCAAATCATCCTTGCGCGGGAGCCATGCTAGTCTTCGTTGTATCATACCATTTTTAGAATATGTACAGTTCGAATTTAAATAGAATTTAAGTATCTAAAAGTACGCACAAAAATATTTTCATAGTTTAATCCTCCTAAATATCTTTTTTTTTTTAAAAAGGAAATCTTAAAATCAACACTTAATGACAAGCTTTGACTTTAATATCTATGGGTGGTGCTTTCAATATAAATGTAAACAACAATCTCGAACTCTTTACCTGCTCAACTTCCAGTTAGACAGCCTCTTACTACAGCTTATTCTGCGTGGCAATATTTTCAAACAGATAATTTTGTTTGCAATAAAAGAAATAAATTTTATAATTTCATAGCTCAAATCTGTTGAATTTCATAATAATGATATCAAATAATTCTGGTGAGTTTGGAAAGAAAATATATTTTAGTTGTTTATCGATATATTGTTTTAAAAAAAGATGACATGGTTGCTAGATTTAGAAAGAACTCCCTTTTTTGGCAGTTTTGATTGGGCCTCTTTTTATTTGTTTAGTTAGTTTTATTTGTTTTACTGTTTTTATTTGTTAGTTTTATTTGTTTTACTGTTTGTTCATGTTGCAAGCCATGCACCAAAATACGTTATTGTTAGCATATTGTTCGAGCTGCGCGAGACTAAGTGTATTTTACAAATTATCATTTAGGTTTAAATTTCGAAGTTTCGAATTCCGAAGTATCATTTAGGTTTAAATTTCGAAGTATATTGTTGCCAAGATAAGAAATGAATAATAACGATTCTTGTTTTTTTCTTCTTCTTTTTCCAATTTTAAGTTTTCAAATGTTAAGCAACACAGCAAGAGCCACTTCGAGTTTTAGATTTAGAACTCGTTGTAACAGTGGCGTAGCGAGCTTAACTCGCGCCCGGGGCACAATACCCTTTTAGCGCCCCCCCCCATTCGAAAACCATATAATATTATATGCAAAATATATATGGTTTATATATAGGCGACTTGGATTATAGCAAATTAATAAATAAAGTCATAGACTCAAGCTAGGCTTTAAATTTGAGACAAAAAATGTAGTTGAGAGAGCAAGACTAGATTTTGAAATGTATATGATCATCTAGAATTAGTTCAAAAGATACCTATTATTTATTTTACATATTTATAAAGAAATATTTTAAAAACACGCAGTTTTTAAACAATAAAAAAGTAAATATTTATTATCTCTAAGGAGATACATATATTTAATAATCATATGATTATAATACATTAATAAAACTATTACTATGTCTAAATTTTCCGTGCTTTTGATGAAGCAAATGTATCAATAATATCATCAAAATTGATCATTTAAAATTTTTCTCTTTCCACACTTAAAAATGCTAGGTCACTTAGGCGATCTGTCAAAATTAATTTTAATTTGCTGAATGAACGTTCGCAGCTAGCAATTGATACTGAGATAGTCAGGAGTATTTGAAATGCCGCTCTCAGATTTGGAAAAACATCTTCTCCATTCGAGATTGATTATAAAAGTAAGAAATTCTAATGGAGTTTTAGGTTTAATTTCTTTTCTACTGCGGAGTAACATTTTGCTGTCACATATTTTGATAAAAAGTTCTATTACATTGAAATCTGTATTATAAAATTCACCCAGATTTTTAAAATTTTTTTTCAAGGTCGTTATCAACATTATCCTTGTTTAATAAATTTTCAACGTCTAGTAGAAATCCAAATTTGAAATTAAGGTCACTTAATCGTGTACACATTTCTTGTTGGAGACGATCAAGAGTGCTTTTCATAACGCGAGAAATTTCACTTTCTGCGGAAAGACCACCATAGCCAATTCTCCAGGCACGTATTGTTGTATCCATATCCCATTTTTCACAAAGAGACTCTGCTTTTTCTATTGCCTCTTTACAGAGCTTGTCTCAAATTTCGGCTAGTTCAGTCGCTAATGATTCAAGATCATGGAACACTTCTCTAAAATTCATTCTAGGATCTTGTAATCTGAGCTGCACACGATCAATCCTTCTTAAGATTTCATACCAGAAATGAACTAAAGTTATAAAACTAAAGGTTAGTATATTTTGCAACAGAATTGTAGCTTCACTTCTGTTGTCACTTGTAGTGGTAGTGTGCTCTGCTAATTTTTCTATTAGTTCTTTTATATTCTCTAGCCCATAGATGATAACGATAACCGCTTGTATTCTGGCGCTCCATCGCGTTTCAGATGTGTGACCTGCCATCACGGCAGCATTATCGTAACATTGTGATCTGCAGTTTGTTAATGAAATTTCATCGTAATTTAATTTCTCTAAAATTGTATTTTCGATCGAGGCTGCATCTTTAGCATGTATTTCAATAAAACTCAAAAAAGATTCTTTGATGGAAACTTTTTTATTGATAAAATCAGCATCTACATACCTAGCGACTTGGGACATTTGTTCTCGATGAGAGATATCAGGAGTTGAATCAAACAAAAGTCCATAATATTTATTTCTTTTGATATCGTTTATTAGTTGATTTCGAACTGTAGATGCCAGAAGATGAATGAATTCATTTTGAATCTGTGGTGACAAATATGAGAACAACAAATTTTTCTGTTAACAAATTTTTTCATACTCTATTCACTTAATAATAGAATCGTCGAGTAGATGTAGTAAGTAATCTTATTTGATTTATTACTTACCAAGAATGCCTTGAACTTGAAAGGTAGTAACATAGTGAAATATACAATATAATTTATGCTGACATTAAACTTATATATAACATTTAATATTTAATAACATTTCATTTTTATTCTAAGCAGAGCGCGATGACAAGGACGTGAATTAAATATTGAAATATATTTAATATGAATATGAATTTAATATAATATTTAATATGAATTAAATATTATGAATAATATTTATGAATTAACATTTATTATATTACACTGGCACTAATTTAAAATATATTTTCCAGAAATCAATTATAATAAAAAAAAATTATCCAGCAATTTTTTGTTTTGCGGACCATTTGGCGCCCCTTTGTGAGTAGCGCCCGGGGCATGATGCCCCCCCTTGCCCACCCCTCGCTACGCCACTGCGTTGTAAACACAAATAATAAATCGGGTAACAAATGCTATGTATACTACTCAAGACAGTCTCAAAGCACAATAAGCCAAATGGCCTCAAAGTATCAGTAGTAACCCGGAAGTATAGGCAGTAAAGAGCTTGCAGAGCTTTCTAGTGTAGAAAACACCATCCATAACTGACACACAAAATAAATCAATAATTTGTTTGCAATAATTTTTGAATTAGGAAATTTTGTGTGTTGAATCCAAAGGAGTCAAAAAAGTATTATAAACTAAAAAAAACTAGAAAAAGAAAGTACGCTACTCAACTCAAGTCTCAGCACAATGTGTCACGTTAATCCCCAATCATATCGTATTCTGTATTGGCACAGTGTTTGTGCTCAAACGTGCTGTGAAATACGATTGCCTCGGGGCATTATCATTCGTTTCTTTCTTGAATACGTATTCCATTTACCCATAATAATGAGTGAATCTTCGTTTGGTTGAATTGCATAAGTTATTAAAAAACGCTCTATTGCATAAAATATATATTAAATAACAAAGAAAAAGTTGACTTTATAATGGTAGAATCGAATCTGATCAGTGATCATGCAACAAATACAACACCGCGCAGAGCCTATGAAACACATAATCCATTCGTGCTTCAAAAAAAAAAATTTTTTTTTTTTAAATTTCTTCATGAAATTAAACATTTTACCTTCCCTTGTGATAAATGATTTAAATTAAAATTAAATTTACGCGAATAAAATTTCATAAGATTTCGATTTAATAGTATCATTTAGGTATCTTCGTTCAAAGAGACCATCAAAAATGTATGCATAAAAACTATGTTCATTACAAATGGGTTCCTACTATTCGAAAAGAAGAAAACGTGATTCCACGCCCAACCATGCGATTTAAATCAAATTTAATTGGATACTTGTAAGCGACGTCACGAGTGTGTGTCAAACATGATTGGCTTCTGAATCGAGGAATGCCACGATTTACCCACAAATTGTCGTCGCTCGCAGGCATTAATTTATAACAAAAGTTAACTTACCTCATAAACTATTGTATTTAATCGCTCTTTCCCCTTTTCTTTCTCATTTTTATTGAGTCGCTGCGAATATTTTGATTCTTTTAAATCAGATTTTAATGTTTCAAGAAGGCTAAAAACCTGCAAAAAAATAATATATATTATAAATAACACAAATCTTAGAAAAAATTATTAAATAAAAAAAATGAATTTAAGTTCGATAAATTCATTTAATATGAAGTCCCATATTATTTTGCTACTCGGTTAAGAATTAATAGAAATAAACAGAATTCTATTACGTGTATTAGTAGCTTTTTATACAAAATTTGCTTTGAAATATGGCAGCTTGACTTTTGGAAATATTATTATTAGCTTTTTGCCTTCCTTGGCCGTTTTGAAAAAATACAATTTTTAAGAAATTTATTAGGAGAAAGCAATATCTAGAAATTAAAAAATAGCGAAAGTCACCGTATTTTCTGATTTATTCAAGCAAACAGGAATTAATGAGACTGCATTACGATTTCATATGATGACGAACAAAATGATATTGGCAACTATGTGTTTGAATAAAATTCCTTGTAGATAAAAAATGATGATAATTTTGGAAGGGAACAACATAAGCATTAGAAAAAGGAAGTTTCGATGTTGTTTTTTTATACTAGGATTCTTTAGGAAAAAGTTATACAAAATAAGTAAAAACAGGCTTCCAAAAACTGTTTGATGAAGCAGTCTTTACCTGTTTAACGTCGCTTAATAATAAAAAATGCTTTGGCTTTTTATAAAAACAACCAACGTCGCTCTTTCGTGAAAGGGTATGTAATTAATTAAAAAGTTTCCAATTATTATTAACGAGTACTACCAAAAACACTTCCACTAAACCAATGTCAGAACAAAAGGTCGATATACTTTTAAAAATAATCTTTAATAAAATTATGAAACATAATGAGAAAACGGTTAATGATACAATTATAAAACGGTTAAAAAAATTTATAGCTTTTTTTTCTCATTAAAAAAGATTAACAATGATTTCAAATATATCAAGAGCTAATTGTTAGCTGCTATTTATAGAGCAAAACACTAATGATAATAATTTCTTTTTAAATCGAATCTTTGAATACTTAATTTTGATAAAAATTTAATCAAAATATATTCTTATTAACGTCGCTTATATATTATATTCTTATTAACAGTATATGGAACAAAAACAATTCTTACTTCAGCATTTGACAACAAAGCCGCACGTTCGTTGATCCTGTAACAATAAGAAAATAAATTCACAATGATGATTTTCGCATTTACATGATCAGTATATGCATAGAAATTTTATTTTAATCATTTAAATGCATTAAACAAAAGTTGCATTCTGATTAGGAATTTTCTAAATAAACTAATATTATGTTTTCTTCAAATATTTTTTATCAGCCACATTAAACAGCACATCTTATTCGGATTTGCCAATCACCAATCTTCGACTTTAAAATTCAACTCAGTTGACAGGGAAATTTTTGTATCATTTAAGAGGTGTCATTTAAGACCAGCTTAAAAAATTTATCAATGATCAATCAGTAGCTGGCAATAATTCCAAATTTTAATAAGTTTCCTTTCAAAGTAACAGTGTAAACAGCTGGTTTAAATTAACAGCCACAATATTACGGTAATCAATTGAATGATAATAGTTAGACGTAGTTCAGCTCTGGCTTGGACATCTCTGTTGGAATAAATTTAGTTCTGTGGTAAATTTTTGGAAAAAAAAAACCCGAATTTGTATTATAAGGAATAAAAAACCTCGAAAACGTCTCACGGTGAGCCCTACGGTAAAGGGATTCCAACAAATCTACAACTAGGAATATTTTTGTTGTTGTAAAGAATGGGATTAATGCGAACCGGAAGCCAGTATAAAAATCGACTAGATTTTTAAGTATTTTTAAGAGTAAAATGAAATATGCTCACTTTTTTAAATTATAGAAAGCGCTCCACCTACTCGAGTTAATAACGTGGGGATTTAATAAATCCGAATAAATATATTTGCGGATGAGGGCTGGTTATTGCTTATAATTTTAAAAGTCAATGAATTTTTTTTATTTATTTCTTTCTATAAGTAGTAGCATTTTGTGCTTTCCAGTTTCTTTTTCGCAGAAATTATGATTCCGCGAAATCTGCTCCTTTTCATTTTATAATATTATGATATATATAATTATATTAATTGTTGGTTTTAAAATTTAAAAGCAACAATTAATTTAAAAATTAAAATTTAAGATCACCGAAATCAAACATCACTGGCAGCGGTCAATAAGCGGGTGGCGACTGGATGACCAATGAGATTATCTCGCGAAAGGAGTGAGAGCAAATAATATAGCGTCCGCGGACCGGTTTACATTATGTCTATCGAAGCTAAGCTTTTTCTCCAATGTATATTCTTTGGTTAGGAATCAGTCCTCTTTAAAATCTTCTACCGTAAAGTGACCGACTTTATGCGCAGGTCGTCGCAAGATAGGGGAGTCACCCTCTCTGCAAAAGACCAAAATTGTGATGGCATGCCTTCGGATTATCCGTCTGGGCGTTGCCTAGACCGTCGCCAACAGCCCATTGTGCAGTTCTAGTGCGACGTAAATAAAGTACTACTATAGTTTGTCTAAAGTAAGAACTCCCCCAGTCGTCTGGACTCGTGGCGGTGACTATGGTAACGAGTTATAACTATTTCCAGTAGGGGTGGGGTCATTGTCTAGGAGAGGTTTTAAGTCGGGTCGGTAAGAGAAAGATAATCTTTTTCTTTGGTTTACTGTTAGCCCTAGAGTGAAGCGAAGCTACCCTCCCTGAAATACGCTATTCTAGTTTCCATAGCAGCAGGCACCCTCAGACTTTGTTGCGAAGGAGTTCTTACCGTAGACAAACTATACTTTGTTTCAATTTTGGTAAAATATTTTGCCAAACCAACTTTTTACACGATTTCTAAACCCACCCAGTGACATACTTAAGTCATGACTGCCAAAAATCAATTATTAAATATAAACTTTTTTTTTATGCTGAGTATTTCTTCTTCTTTTATTTAAAACAAAAAGCCAAAAACTATTCAATAAATGATTTATTATTATTTCTAAATTCCTTCTACCAAACGACAAGACGTAATTGTAGCGTCGTAAGCATTCAGGCAACAACCTTTAAGCACAATAGGAGTTTGTCCTCTTGCATAATTTTTTGCATTTATTATGCATTATACTATGCGATTTGAGTTTCTTCGTTTGATTTTTTTATTCATTTAATGTGAAAAATTGTAAGAATTATTTGATTGCTATTAATATGAATTTCTTTTTCTTCTCTCGTGTTTTAGATACTTTTAAATATCAGTAATCGGATACTTTCAAGTGATGCCTTGCGTGGGTTAGTCAATCAGGTTCGACGCCCACGCGTGATGTCGCATGCAGGTATCCAATCAAATATAAACCGAAAAGTTGCTACATAATCACGCCATGCACAACAACTTTAGACACAGCCATGTTATTACAGTAGCGGTTGCTCAGGGAATAGATAGAATGTTTCTCAATGAGATGAGCCATGTTCGAATCCCAGCGGAGGCTGGTTAACATGAATACCACTCCCGACCACAATGCTGACGTAAAATAGCCTCATTGGTAGACAGATCATGGATTACAATCCCTTTGCAGTCGGTCTAACCGTGGGAGGTGTTCGTGGTTTTTCTCTTCGAGTAATGCAAATGTGGGTTACATTCATCAAAAAGTCCTCCACGAAGGCTAGTTTGTCCGAATGTTTAATCCAAGAGTTCTCTTATCTTCTGGATCGAATTCAAACTCACACGGTTACGAAGTTAATCACCGAAAAACATAACCTCAGAATTGGATCGGTTATAAAATAAAATAACAACCATATGATTAGTTGCAAGTACCATATTCAATACAATTTTGTGAAACAACAAAGCGTTTACGAAAGAAGTGGCCGAGTTAATGAGGCGGTTGAGTTTGTGTAGTTATACGGACCAGCCCACGAACCCGATTTTTACTCAAAATACACATGCCACAGATTCAAAGATAAATAAATATCTTAAGAAGAGAAATTCGGCAATGGTTTCACAATTGTGAAACCATTGATTTTTGCACTGTCTTATTATTATTGGCTTTTTCGCCCTAGAACTTAGACTTTAATATCAACTGATAAAAAGAAAGAAAAAACTTGTTTTCATATTTTTTTCCAGATTGTGAATTTCTATACTTATTCACGAAATTTTTTTTTTTTTTCATATTAAAAAGAAAGATTGTGTATGCCAGTGTTTGTATTTTGTCTTTCTTATTACCTCAAAAGCGTTTGTGGCACAACAAATGAAAATTTTAGCCCTATATTCTAAAGATCGTTCCAAAACTTAAAGCAGCATTTAGATTAGGAAAGGAGGAATGAAGAGAAGTTAGAGAAATGAATTTTTCGCATTGGTTTGACCGTTATGTAATTATTAAAAATTTAATTGTATAGACGTTTTTTCTTTTCTTTCTTTTTTCTAAATTGCTGAGCTTTTCGTTTCATTCAGTGGCGCGACAGCCCTGGCATTTTTCAGAAGTCTTTTCAAAGCGTGTTTATTCCAGAATTTCTAATAATCTTTTCTAGGGCAACATTAAAAATGAGACAGGCATCTCCTTGCACGCGAATCTTTGTGGTGAGGACGCCATACCCCAGGAGGTAACTTTTGTCACAAATTCTCTTTCACTCCCATAAGTAATTTAAAATATTGGAAAAGTGAATCTAGGCAAACCTAGAGTAAGCCATGAAGTGTCAAATACTGAAAAGAAAATTTTAAAATATTTAAATGAAAATAAATTAGGATTAACGCAATGGAGAAGTTCTCTTTCTATAATTTGTTTCCATTTGGTTATTTTTTTTTTTGGCAATTGAAACTTCATGGCTTACTCTAAAATAGTCTGAACTCATTTTTTCTTTCTTTTAAATTAGTAATGGAGGTGAAAGAGAGTTTGTTAAAGTTTCTCCCGTGGTATGGCGCCGTCCTCTTTTAGGGTTAAGGCCTAAAGAGCAACAAGCAGAACCGTCAAAAATGTAGTTTGCTTCATCTAATAATATATAATGTCTCAAAAAAGGGTAAAAAATAATAATCGATAAAATAAATAAATAAAATCGGAATTAATTGAGTAGGCAGTAAACATTGCGTACAGGGTGCGTAGCCTGATTTTTCAACAAAAAAGAAGCACTTTTCAAGTACATTTTAAGCACTCAAAAAATATTTTTAATCACTTTCCAAAAAAAAAATTTCATATTTAAGATCTGGGCAGTAATAAAAATTATTTTTTTATCGTTTACAACTCTTGATTTATAAACATAAAATGAATGAAATTTAAAATCGTTTTCAAAAACTTTACATAGCTAGTTTCAGATAAATATTGCAGAGAAAATTGTGCATTTCTTGCAATTTAAAACGACTATTGCAAGGGCAAAGAAAAAATCTCTTTTTTAAAGATAGAAAATAGAGCACTTTTTACAAACACCGAATAAAAAAAGCACTTTTAAGGGCTTTTTAAAAACGTAAATAAAAAATAAGCACTTTTTAAAAACGCTAAGCACCCTGTGCGTAGTACTGATTAAAACCAATTTATTTATTTACCTTTATTTTTTTTTTACCCCGTACAAAGAATGGATATACAGATATTTGCAATGTAATAAATAAAAGTAGAATTAAAATGACTTATAAATACATTCAGATAACGCATCAATAAGTAAAACTTTGTAACTGTCAATGTAACATTTGGTCATTGCAATATAGATTCCTCAATTTTTCGGATTTCTCTTTGATAGTTGTGTTCGATGGAAAAATGTCTCCTGCCATGCGCGAATTTATTTTCAGAATCAGGTTTCATGTTCATAAACCGTTCTTTTCCCTTTATCTTCAATTGTATTTTATTGAAACATGGAATAGATTATTTACTCACTCAGAAGAGGTGTAAAAATGAGATGAAAAAATTTCTGTTAAATAATTGAGAGACCGGTAATTTTATTAAAATTATGTGCCACAAGATCAATATTTAATACAAAAAGACTTGGATTGAAGAATTTTTAAAGTATTGGCTTATTGAGAAATTGAAAGCTTAACTTAAATAAGTAAAGTAATGCGTAATTAATTTAAATAATAACAGTTATAGACATGTGTAAGCTGACGTCACTTCACTTATCTGTCCACTGGTAATTCATCAATAATCAATCAGATAAGGCAAATGAAAATTGATGGATTTATTCCACTCAATGATATAGTTCAGCCTCTGGCTTGGGCATCTCTATTTTATTATCAATTCTTCTAAAATTTTATAAAAATACTAGAGTTTCCAAGGGCGCTAATAATGACATGAGTTATAAATATTTTTCCCCATTTAAATCTCAGTTAATAATAATGATACACCAATTCGAATCGAATACTCTAACTTCTTAAATAACCCAAGTTATTGCTTCTATTACTACTCTAGAGGTTTGTTTTCTCAAAACGTTGGTTTTGTATTTTGAAAATGTTTTACAAAATATTACTAACCTGAATATATTTGGGAGATTTCCATTATGTTCACAAATAACTATAAATTTTTTTTAAAGTTTTAATTAAAAAATGCAATATATGTTCTTTTTTCTTCTTCAGAAATGTGAGAGAATTATTCATTTAGGCTTGGAGCAATTTTTAATTTTTCTTGGAGGGTAATTAGAAAAATTTCTGTGGTTTTCCTCTCCATGTAACACACACGCGAGATAGTTCCATCAAAAAGTCCTCAATGAAGGTTAGTTTGTCTCAATGCAGGAGTTTCTTTGCCTCCTAGGCAAGGTTCAGAATTACAAGGCTATGGGAGTTGAACATTGATAGTGGTAAACTAAGAAATGGGTTAGCTGTTCAACGTCAGTTATAAAACATATTCAAAAAAATAATAATATGGAGTAAATACAGTTTAAAAATTACAATTTGCAACTGAGTTATGACCTTCACAGAAGAAAAGGTGAATTTCTAACTAGAAAACTTTCGTTTTTTAAGTTACAAAGCATGAATATTCAGTTTTATGAAATAAATAAAACAAAAGAAATTTTTCTTTGAAACTTCGAAATGAAATTTTGAATAATTGGCTTCCAAAGAGATTCAAGTACCCATGCTTTGTATTGGGCTTAAAAAATTAAAAAAAAAAAGCAATATTTTAAAAAAAAAATCAGGATAATATCAGGACATTTTTTGGAACACTATACATATCAGGTAAGTTCTTGATAATTGATGGTTTTAACCATGGTTTTATCCGTCATGCCAAAAGCCCCTTTATTGACATGTTTAAAAAACCCAAAAATTTTGATGTAAGGATAATTATTAGCCATTTTAAATAAGAAGTATTTATAAGTAAACATACATATAAAATTACAAGTGTTCAATCAATTACGTTCTTGAATTATTTTGATATTAAAATTTTTTGTTGTTGAAAATTTACTGATTGTAAAAACCCCAAATTTTGGTGTAAAAAATATTAAATAATTATAAATAAAAATGTGTCAAATTGAAAGTTACGCAATCCGTCAAGTTGTTAAATTATTGAAAATAGACATACAAAAACAATCAGCTCAATAAAAAAATCTCAACAATCATCGTATTCACTGCTTTTAAAATAAATTTTCATTTAGTCCAATTTTAAATCCTCTGATTCCTAAAACATGCTATTACAAAAAAGAAGTTTTGAAGCTTTCTGTACTTCACATTCATTTTTCAGTTTAGTATGAATAAGACTAAAATTTGAAACTATTCCTTCGATTGATGCTCAGCTACATAGACTACAAAGTACTTAAGATATTATAACATAATAAAATAACATATAATTAGAAAAAATATTCTAATAACTGTACTAAATATTAATAGAAATATAATTAAACCCTTAAATCGATTGAAAAATTTATTAACTAACTTAAACAAATGTTTATATTTATTGTAAATTATGATTAGTACCCTAATCAATTAACTAATTACTCATTAATATAATTAACATTAATTCACTAACATTGGAAATATTCATTGCACATATAAACAGGAGTGCAGAAAACTCTCAGAGCCTATCCCCTATGAACAAAGTTTCTTTTTGAAACAAAATTTCCCTAAAAATATTAGCATATTTTTTCAATTCAATAAATTTTTCAAAATTTCTTTGGAAAGTAAAGTTTATGTATAAAAAAAATCACTTGATTTTACACAATTCTCGAATAAACGAGCATATGTGTAATATAAATTAAATTTAAGGTCATACTTATAAACTTAAGGAATTCAAATTAATAAATACACTAATTAATATGTCCTTTTTTTAACAAGAAAAAGCTTAACTAAGTCAACTTTTTTAACAAAAAATTAGGTAGCAATTTTTTTAGACAAGAAATTTTCACCAAAGCCTTGTTTGACGGTTAGATGTATTCTGCTCTACTGAATATTATTAGTAACAACAAATATTGAGAATAAATAAATAAAAAAAAATTATAAGTAGAGATCAGACAATTATAGTCTCACTTTAAATTTTACTTAATCTAAAAAATCTGTCTAAATTGTAATATAAAAGATTTAAAATCAATATTTAGATTTATATTAGTCAACAGCTCATAGTTATTACTTGCAATTTAAACTGAATAGTTATAATATGGATCTCAAAATATTAAGATTACCAATATAAAAACCTATTAATAGTTACAATACTTTTGGCTATATTTTTTTAATATGACATATAAAATAAATCATAATTATAGTAGTATATCACGCAAGTATTGCACATGATTTAGTGTCTATAAATGTAAAAAAAGAAATTTAACCCAGGTTTTGACAGGATTTTTATACGTCATGTCAAAAACCAGTTTTTAATGTCAAAAACCCAACCCAGATATATATCAGAATACTTTCAAAAAGCACTAAACAAAGTGCAATTAGCTCAATTGAAGTGTAATAAAAGGCAATTTTATTGCAGAAGAAAAATAAAATACACTATTTTTGTTTCAAAATTATTCAGAGAAGAAAGTTTTCAAAGTTTCCAGTATAAATTTACCAAGACTGAACAACTTGCAATGGTTACAAATTAATACATGAATTTTTTTTTTATAGTAGCACTGCATTAAAAAAAGAGCAGTATAAATTAGTTAATATTCCCTCACACTAATATATAATTAAAATTAATACTGAACAACTCACAATAGTTACAAATTAATACATGAAATTTTTTTATAGTACCATTGCATTAAAAAAAAGAGCAGTATAAATTAGTTAATATTCCCTCACACTAATATATAATTAAAATTTGTTATTGAATTCAAGACTTCGTTAACCAAATAATTTCAAAGCAGGGTTTTAATGATCTCGAAATGAAAATACAGCCTAACATTTTAGTGAAAAAGTAATTATAGTAGACAATCTCTCAATTTATTACTGAAAATACTATGATGAGATTACTGTATTGTTGATGGGGACTGATCATTCTTAAAATTACATGAAATTAGTCAATAATTGTGAAATTACAGTCCTACACCTTACAAGAGTTGTAACTGCATTTGATGAAAATAAATTAGAATATGACCCCAAAATTCCTCACAAAAAACAAACAAACTATAATGATGTTTAGTTATATTACTAAGGGTAAGTAATACAGTACAGAACCAGTTATACGGAAATTGGAAAACCAAAAAACCGGAACGAAATTCGATAAATTTTCCCGCCATTTTTTAAAATTTTTTTTTCCTCATAAGATTTTTCTTTCTTTTTTGAAAGATGTTTACCTTACCATCATTTTGGAAATAATCATTAATGTATTACATCATCGTTTTTTCTTCTTTTTAAGATTATTTCCAAATATTATTATTTTTTTTAGTTGGATTTAACAATAAAAAAAAAAACAGCTTTTTGTAGCGATTCAGAAAATCGGAAAAATCAGTTATCCGGAATAGCGATGGCTCCGGATAGTCGGTTCCCTACTGTATTCCTATTAAGGTTTAGTTATATGCCTAAACTAATCCCTAAATTAGAACTATCATTTTCTACTATCACAAATATTTTAAACAAAAAGTTGTTGGCTCAAACATCAAAATCTTATATATATTTTTAAATATCTGCATTTATTATTAGAAAATGGGATGCCTGAACATACATAAAAATTAATATCACAAAGAGATAAAATTGAGGACAAAATATTTTTTATTTGGAAAATTGGGCACCCTTGATTCCTTTTCAGAGAGTATTCTACCAACATTTTTTAGAACATTATGTAAATTGGACAAATGAAATTTTTGTTCCATTAAAAAGTTCCTTATCCAATAAAAAGGTAAAATAAAAACATGAAATCATTTAAAGAACTACGCTATAGTTTTGAACACAAGCAATTAGTTTTACATTTAACTAGACACTCTTGCAGATTCAAAAAATAACAAATGAGAAATGACATTCTAAATCTTCAAGACATTTAGATTTTCTTTTTTTGTTCTCTGAAACTACTGATGATAACATTAATTAATGGTCTTATTAAATTTAAAATTATTTTACAAAAATAAATAAAACTTTTTATAATAATTTCTGAAACATTACTTTCCACCATGTTCTAAAATTTAGCAAAAATAAAATTAGTGGTCAAAATCAATTTAAATACTAACTTTTAAAATTTTATACATAATAAAACCTTTAATAATAAGTTCTGCAAGTAAAAATCATATAAAAATTATATTATCCACCATTTGAAAATGTACTTAAGTAATTTTACACATCAAACAGTAAATATAAAAACGAGGAAAACAAGAAGTTAAATAAAAAGATTTGTTTATCTTATTCATAGTTATGAGAAACATGCCTAAAAACTATATTTATAATTTAATGTAATAGATTATACCGTCACCTCTGAACAATTATATGCAATGTTGAAAGTAAAAATATTTATAAAAATGAATATCACACTGAAAAATCAATAGAACTAGAACTTTTTCACACATTTAGAATAAAAAAGTGAGAAATAAAATATTTATTCAAATATTCCGCACAAGTGACTATAGGAATTTTCATTTTTACAAAATTATCAACAAAAAATTAGAACAATTCAAAAACACACACAATATCGGAGATACCATACTAATAAGATTTAAAGTCAATTGAATTCTATATATAATCTTTAGCCAACTGTCAAACAGAAGTTCTGTTACAGAAAATAATCACCGTCTCCAAGAGCGCGCTTCACTGTCTTCTTCTTCCTCATCATCTGGCTCAACATCCAGAGCAGCTTCATCAAGAAGATCAAGAGCATCGTTAAAACTAGAATCGGGCTCATCCATTTTAACAACTTCAGTCACAGGTACTGCTGATTTAGTTAATTCTTCTTTATTAATAAGAGACAAACTTTTACGTCGATCAATAGTACGTGAATTAATATTACTATATAGACCTCGGGACATGAAACGGCCTCTTCCACGTCTGACCGCCGATTTAGCCTGTCCGAGAGGCGAGTTATCGATTAGGCCTAATGCTTTAGCCTTTTGTTTCAATTCAAGAACTCTAGATAGTAAATCAGCAGTATCATCGCCAGCATGCTGTTTATTGTATAAATCCATCTCGGCATCTAATAGCTCTTTTTCTGCTTCAGTTTTTGAAATCGGTGATTTTGGATTCGCAGTTTTAATGAGAGTTTTCAACTCTTCAGAGTCCTTTTTTACTTCATTTTGTAAGCTAGACACTTTCTCATTAAGAGCCTGCATCATTTTCTTTAACAAATCCCGTTCCTTATCAGACTTGCATTTGCCCAACTTTTCTAATATGTTTTTCTGGTTTTCAATTTGTGAATTTAAAAGTTCTTGCTTTTTCTTGTGGAGATCTAAACGCTTTTGTAGGGCATCTTTACGTTGTTCTTCTTTGGGTTTTCTCGCTAAAGCAGAGGATAAACTAGGAACGTTCGTCTTCTTCATGGATGCAGGGTTGAAAACGGTTCTCGTAAAATTAGGTTTAGAGTAAACAACAGATCTTTCTGTCCTTTCGACGTTAAGTTTCGATAAATCACTACTTTGAGAGGCATCTTCCATGGGGGTCGTTATCTTTTTATCGACATTACTCTTTAAACCTGACTGCACTAAATTTTTATTAGAAGTATCGCTCAATATTTTGTTAATTTTATCATTATTGTGCCAAAATACTTTAATAAATCTATTATTGAACACAGCATCTGTGCACTTATATGCAGAATTAGCTTCTCCATGCGTCATAAATTGAATCAATGCCGCTTCCGGATCACCTTCAAAGTTCACTTGCAAGTTAACGATTCTTCCGAACTTAGAAAAATGATTATTTAACATAGCGATAGAGTTCATATGCTTGGGAATTTTTCTTACTTCCAAAGTATTACGGGTAGGATTGAACTTCGAAACTTTTTTCGGACTCGGGCCTAATCTGTTGTAATCGAATCCCTTCTTTTTATCCTCACTCTCTGCAACAGAAAGAGAGAAATTATTAACTTTATTCTTTTCAACAACAGGGGTGTAAAGATTTTCAGTACTCTCTGCTAGTGGTTTATCGTCGTTCCTATTTCGGCCTTTAATGACGACGAGGCGTGAATCGATATTTCCGACAGTCGGAACTCCGATAAGTTCACGAGTCCTGTGATGTTTGGTATTGTGGAACGAAGGTGGTGGTTCATTAATATTGAAAATTACATTAGGCATTCCAGGTGCTGGAGGGGGGATTAACGGAGGAGGAGGTAAATGAGGAGGTGGGGTTGCCCAATAAGGTATATGCTCACGAGGTGCCATATTCATACCAGGAGCCTCAGGATTATAAGGCTCTGGTATATAACCCGGTGGTGGTAAGGGCGGTAAAGGTGGAAGTGGTGGCAATGGTGGTGGTAAGGGAGATTTTGAATTGGCTCTATCTCCTACATTTAAAACAGACACATCATCAACTGATATAGGGTCGTCTCCATGATCAAATGGACAAAAATCTCCTCGCATACAATAACCTTTTTCATCATAATCTTGGCACCTTTTAGTAATTTTGCTGGTATAATTAGCAGTATTTTTAAATTGAGGCTTTGCTACACTTGACAATGATTTTTGTCTATAATCAGTATCCCCATGATCTGATATTTGCTTAACATCATGTTTTATGACAGATATTTTATCTGACTGATCAATACGCTCTCTTGATATTGAGCGAGTAGATCTGACTGATGAGCTGGATCTAGAACGGCGTCGGTCTCGGCTATTGCTGCGTGACCTAGATTTAGTTCTGGATCGATTTCTATCTCCCAAACCATAATTCGTTTGATCTCTATCTTTATTGTATTTAAAACCTCTCTTATCATCTCTTTTATAATCATCAGTAGGCTTAGAATAATACTCATTTCGGCCAGTTTTGTTCAACTTCTGTTTTTTAGATGGGTAAGAATGTGATTTTGAACGATCTTCATCGTCATCACTATTTAATCTTTTGTGGCTATAATCACCCTCCCTACTTCTACTCCTGTCTCTATGCCTACTGGATTTTCGAATAGGACTTCTGCTATGTGATTTGCTCCTTCTGTTTGTTCTAAATGATGATCTGGATCTGTTTGAATGATCAGAATTTGAAGTTTCCTTTAGCTGAGCCTCAATTTCTTTTTTAACATTTTTTACAGTTTCATTTATGCTAGTATACTCAGTAGAAATAGGAGGAGTTTTTGTAACAGTATTAATAGCTAATGGACTAGGGGTACTCTTGGCATCAACGGCTGGCGTTTCAGTAGGGGAACTTAGGTAAGACTTGGTTTTCAGAGCTTCAAACAATAAATCAACAAAAACTTTAGTGTTTTTCAACAGAAAAACATCTAATTGGTCAGAACAAAACTCTCTGAGTTCGTTTTCAGGTTTATCTTTCTTTACTAGAGCTAAAACATATTTAGCCAGGGCAGCGGGATCAGCATCACAAATACGACTTAAACAAGAAGTTAACCATGATTTTAGAGCTTCAGTATTATCAATAATCATAATTGGTGCGAGGAAAGTTCACACGTACCTTGTATAAGTTATAAATGATTTAGGAACTAAACATTATTATTACACTTTATTGTAAGTTTATCTATAATTGAACAATATCATAACAAATGCTATTTTTATTGATTTATTAAAAAACCAGATAAAATCAACTTATACTTCGCTTTAATAGATATTTATAAGCAAGTAAAAGATATTATTATGTTATCAAACATAAGACATGTACTCAAACATATAAAATTATAATTACTTACACTTCCATGTTGCAGTTACAGACAAGTTTAAACTCTTCTTCTAGCTCCCTCTATATTTCTGTAAAATACAAAAATCTTTGTAAATTCAATCACAAAATCTTCAGATTATTCTATCAGCTAATTGGTTACTTTTAGATAAATGTATGAAGTAAACGTTACAGATTCGAGGGTTAAAATAATTAAATATTATCTTGGCGTGTTTAAGTTTCTACCATGTTTGATTGTTGTTGTTGTTGTTAATTTACGTCGCACTAGAGCTGCACAATGGGCTATTGGCGACGGTCTGGGAAACATCCCGGAGGATGATCCGAAGACATGCCATCACAATTGTCTACCATGTTTGAAACTTCCCGAACTTTGAAATCCAAAAACTTTATTCTGAAAAAGAAATTGTAGAATTATGTTAATTTGCTTTGTTAACTAGCTTTATTAAATCTTTACATCTTAAAAAAGTTAAGAATAACTCATGAGTATGTGTCTCAAAAACTTACAGAAGAGAGACAAAAAATAATCATTTAAAAGAGCGATAAATGAGTTATTTTATTTTCTGATGAACAACGATATTTCCTTTCTATAAATACTCAAAAAGTACTTTACTCTGCTGTGATTAAAATAATTTTTTCAACATCAGTGTATTATAAATCTTTTAATTACTGTTTTTATTTTCAAATTATTAAGTGAAACTAACTGAGCTAATTTGTTCTATGAATTTTAAATGGCAATACCAGCTTAAGAGCTTAAGATTGTATAATACTGCCATCTAGCAGTATATTTGGGAACTAATTTTTTCTTTTTAATTTAGTTTTTAGTTTGTTTGTTTTTATCCTAACGTGAAGTTGTGTCAAGTGTATGCGAAATGTGCTTGGTTGAGTCATGCAGTGATTAATGTTGACTTATAACTCCGATATTTAAAAAGATCAGCCGGGAACGTTTCTAATTTTTAGTTTACATTCATTTAACCTCAACTTATTTTTTATAATAATTTTTTCATTAAAAAACGTTTTGAAGGGCAACTAACTTAACAAGTAAATAAAGTGACTTTTAGAACTGGAGTGCAGTATAGGAAAAAATAATACATATTTCATTTGTTAGAAAAATTTTAAGTGGAAAATGGAAGATCTTGGTAAGTAAAGAAATTCTTGGCTAAAAATTTTTATAACTTTTTGCTCTTGTATTTATGAAACAGTTGTTTTTGAAGAATGTTACAACATTATGTCAGATTCTTGTAATACAACACCTTTGAATCTAATGACTATTTGTGTGACATTCTAGAATATTAACACTAATTTTAAGGTTTTACTTCAATACGTAAATAAGATGTTTGATTTAGGATTAATGTTTGTTGTAAGATTATGTTTAACGTTATTTACAACTACACGTATCTATAATATCAAGGCTAATTTTTTTAGATATTTATTTAGACTTTTAAGAGATTTGACATTTAAACTATTATGAGCAATAAATAGTTTATCAACATTTACTTTTTTAGTACTAACTTACATGAGTAGCAAGAACTTTAAAATTGAAATCAAATGAAGGAATTTTACTTTAAAAAACAAACATAATTAATGTTGTTGATTTCATAAATGTAAACAGATTTTTTAATATGTTTAAATACATTAAGTAGAATTTTATTCTAATTACACGTATTTATAATGCAGTAATAATATTTTTTTAAAATAATTTAAAGATACTTAATATTTGAACTATTTTGTGTACAAAATAAAACATCAATATTTATGGGTTTTAGCAAATCTTTCATGAATTTTTCATTAAGTATTGAAATTGAATGGAAAGATATTGCTTTAAAAAACTGTAATTTGTTTTGATTATAGTATTTTGAGCTTTATTTTATTCTATGTGTGTTTTTTCCAACTTTTTGTAAGTAAAGTAAACCTCCTAAATATACAGTTTGAATTAATAAATCTACCTTATAATACTGATACATACGTTTTGAATGTCTGCTCAGTAATTCTTTATTTTTTAACTTTCAATTGATGCGATAATAAAACACGAGAAAATTACCAAAACTGTGTAGTCTGTAGTTGAAATATACGACTCAGTATTTACCTGAGAGCTCAACTCTGACTCCAGTTAAATATTAAATTAAAATTTTCAACGAATCTCTGGAAAGTATTCATATTGCAAAGTAGACGTTAATCTCGAATATAATATTTATAGTTTTTTCTATACCATTAAGTAATGAGCACTTTACATGAAATAACATTTACATAGCACCTAAAGCACTAAATTTTGAAAAATATTTATATTATATTTATTTATATAAAATATTAAAATTGTGCACATTATCAAATGCTGTGCATAATCATTAAAAAAGAAATGAACCAGATATCAATGTCTCACACTCTTATTAGCACATATATAAATGTGTTATGACATTTTTTTTAAATGTTCATAAGAAAGAAAACTATTATAAAAATACATAATTCATGTGAATATTTTTTAAGTAACCTAGTAGTTTAGGTAAATAAATATGGTTTCAGAATGTATAAATTAAAAGAACTTTTTAATTGTTTATTTATTTATATTGATTTTTTCGTAATTTTCTGTGTTCTTTTTTAATTGTTCAGTAAAACATTTGAGCATAAAAATATTCAAATTAGTGTAATTAAATATGTGATAAGTAATAATTTATATAGCTATCATAATATTAGTTTGAATGATGTTTTTTCGTGTAAATATTTGCTTAAATTATTATTATAACTTCAAGACTTATTTTTTCTCTTTGAAGCCACAAGACCTAACTTTTAATAAACTAGAGTAGTGGTTTTCAAATGGTGTTCCATAGAACTTTAAGGTTCCGTGGTGGGGTCACAGAGGTTCCAAAAGTCAGGAAATTTTTAAACAGTTAAGATTTCTGAAACCTGTAATTAAAATTACATTAAATTTATAATCCATTTTTTATTTAACATTTCCATCATTTTCAGGAAATTATTTAATTTTCAATGATTTAAGAAAGTAATTGAAAAACAATGTTTTTTACTAATAACAATAAAATGAATGACTTATAAAAGGGATAGAATGCATTTATGAAATTTTTTTTGTATTATATCTTCATCGAATTAAAATAACCCAAATCAACTAAGAGGAAGTATGTTTCTCTGATAATCATTTTCATCGTTTTTTTTTTCTTCCTTTTTATTTTAATGGAAACCATATTGCATCTCATTCATTTTTAGTTTAAGCAGGAACTAAACTTAAGAATTAGGCTAGATACCGTTTCAGAAATATGAATTAAACTGCCTGACAAAAAACCAAATTTTAAAACTAATATTGATAAAAGAATATGATGAAAAGATTTCATTCTTCATTCATTCACTAAACATTTTAACATGATTCAAGAATTAAAGGTCTTTCGTTAGTTAATATGTTCACTATTGCTAATGAAATTTATTCATTGAGTCTCAGGATTCCTCCAAAAAAAAGATCGACTATTTATGATTCCGAAACCGAAAAAAATTGGGAACATTTGAATTAGAGCAAACAGATTTTTCTTACTTTTAAAATTTCTTTCAACTATGATTCCACAACCTTGAAAATAACTGTAATTTACTTGTTTAATCTATAATTTTTATTTTTAAATCCTACTTTGGGTAAGATTCCAAAGGCTGCAACATTGAAATGGAATAAGAAATGTGTGACAATGTGCCAATTGTAAACCTATTTTGCACTGATAATTACCTTGAATATGTGTGCAGTATTAACTTATTTTAACTATTGCAGTTAAAATCGACCTTAAAATAAACTGCTTAAAAATATTATAATTTAAGTTATCTAAAGGTTTGAGCATATTTTATTTTTTGCAAATAAAATTGATGGAGAATGTTGCATGAGTGAATGTTGTTCTTATAAAGAATATTTTCAACCATTTTTCAGTAAAAAATTATAATTACTAACATACATTTCATACATATCTAGCAACTTGCTATTTCTTTCTTTATTGAGTGAAAGTTTAATTCCCTTCCTTAAAAATTAATATTTTGTATTGACAATAGATTTTATCATGTTCTGTTTTATTGTGTTTAGGCAGTGTGATAAATAGTGTGGTTGATATAGTAGTTAGTGACGTTAATATGATTGACGTTTATATGATGACGTTAATATGATTGATTTATCTGGCACCTGGATATAAATATATACAGTATAATTTTTAATCTTATGAGGTTAAAATCTGGGTTGGATTTCTGGGATAAAATACTGGTTTTTGTTACAACACGTCGCGAAATTTCTGAGTTTATGACTATCAATGTCCAACTCTGTGCCCTTGTAATTTTGAACCTAACCCAGAAGACAAGGTAACGCCTAGATCAAGCTTTAGGACAAACTAACCTTCGAGTAGGACTTTTTGATGTAACTTATCCACATTCGCTTTATATGATGTGGAAAACTGAAAATCACCCACAGTTATCCTGGTAGCAGGGAGATTCTTACCCATGATCCGTTTACCACGAAGGATATTTCATGTCAGCATTGTGGTCGGTGTGAGCCTGTAGCTGATTCAACCAGCCACTGCTGAGATTCAAACCTGTTTCACCTCAATGGGTGGCCAGCGCTCTATCCCCAGAGTCACCTCAGCTTTACCCATTTAGTTATGATTAATTGCTTTTTTCAGCTTTAAAAGATTGAATTATCTTCAAAAGAAAGAAAAAATTTGAGTTAAAAAGAGTCAAAATCAAGCAATCTAAAATTATCTACATGTAATAAATAAATGAGTCATAATTCATAATCTTATAAAAATACTGAGTTATAGTATTATTCAAGTTACTTAATCATTAAATTTTTTTATTTTTATTTTAGCCAATTGTTGTAATCAAAGTCTGCTATTACTATGCAAGTTTCCATGTCACTGTCAAATTACTAATACTAAAGATTCAAAAATTGTATATTTATAGCATGATAAAAATTACTAGCCTCTCCCTATCTCAGCAATTTTTTTTTTTTTTTTTTTTTTTTGAAAGAAAAACGTCGTTCTGTTGTTTAAGGGAGAAGTAGTAGTATACAAAAATAAAAGAGCAGAATAAAAAAAACATTTTTTATTTATTTTATAAGCAATAGAGATAGAAAAGTTCAAAATGAGCATAATTTCACCTAATTTCCTTCTTACAATCTTAGCCCATTATGTTTGTAATGAATGGGTGGGCGATCACCTGCCAAGTCATGTGTCTCCTTACTTATAATGATACTGCTATTTTTAAAAATCCTGTCATACACTTTCAAGCTATGTGCCTTTAGTTGACCATATA